TATTTTCAAGAATCTCTTACAAAAATAAGAATATTTGTTTTATATATATCAAAAAAAGAAAAAGAAAAAGAAGCATATGGTATGTGCTAAATCATCTTTCAAGTCAGTGATGAATAATACTGATTCACTCTCGTCTGTCAGCTTTTCTAGTCTAGTAAATCTCTTGAGAGATACAACACGCACAGACCACAAAAAAAATTGGAAAAGAATTTAATCCAATATTCTTCGAGTTATTTCTCCAATGGGATCATGTATGGTAACTAAGTTCTTTTCTTAAAAAGTAAACAATAAGAAAAAAGAAAAGAAAAAGAAAAAGAAAAAGAAAAAGCATACCGGCATCTGTTAACATTGTCTCTCTTGAATTCATTATAGATGATAGTTGACAACGAGAACAGGAGTTATGCAGTCGTGAAAAACTTGTTGAACGAAGTGTTGCGTGTGTATGATGATTTCGAATAGCAATAGAATTTAAATTGGCTGAAAGGTTATTATTAGATGGTAAATAACCAAAATGAACGCCGTTTCCAAACTAAGAGAAATGAACAAAAAAAATGTAAGGAAAATGCTCACATACTTCAGCAATAATAGAGAAAGAATTTTTTCTCTCTATTCACTCGTTTTCTCTCTTTCTTTCGCTTGTGAACAATGACCTTTGTAAAACTAACATTCTAGAATACCTTTATATTCTTCACTCTCCTTTTTATACATATATATATATATATATGTATATATGAATATAAGCTATTCTTTTGTTCAACTTGAAATATTTAATTTTACTCCACATCTGTATAACGTTGGATATAGAGAGAGACTGCAGACATTATCAATGCTACTATTCACTCAACGAGACAATCAACTATCTTTTTTTTCCAGAGAAAAAAAGCAGTAAAAGAGGAAAAAAGGAAAGATGTCGATGAATTTCCGCCTTGTTTTGTTCGTGTCTCGTTTTTTCCTCTTCTATCTTCTATTTTCTTCTTTTTTTATTCTCAAATAAATAAGCGAACATCATCGTGGTAATTTTTCTCGCTTTGAGAACATCAATTTCATCCATCATTATTATCCTCATCATAGCATTAACGTGCAAATCAAGCAAACGATCGATTAATCATGCAATATGTGAAAGCTCGATTGACTTCATAATTGCCCTTCATGAGTTACTTTATTCCGCTTTTTTTTGTTTATATATATCTATCTATATGTGCTGAAAGACGGTTTCTTTTTTTTTGCTTTCCATTCAAATGGACATGACAAACAGGAAAAAGAAAGAAAATCGACGGTCCTTTTTTTCTTAGATTTCCGTTCTTTGCCATTTGATTGATGTATTGACTAATATATAAATATATATTCTTTTAGGAAAAAAAATAGAACTTACATATCGAATATTCGATTCATTTGCTGCGCAACCAGAAGTTAAAACGAAATTAGCATCAGTTATAATATGATCAGCATCATAACTTGTATCTTCAATTTCATCATCATCATGTGTTAATGTTTCTTTTTCATATTGTTGTTGAGAGTTATTTGGAAGAGATAATGATTTAGGTAAAACTGTAATTGGTTGATTAATTATTTCATGTTGTCTTACGTGAATTTCAAATTGTTGATGTTGTTGTTCATTTTCATTTCGTTTTTTTATTGATATACGATCATAACGATAACATGTCCATATAGCTGTAAGAACAAGTATAAACCAACTTATAACTAATAATATAAGAAAACGCCATTGAAATTTTTCTAAAAATAATTTTGATAAAAAATTTTTTTGTCTCATTAAAAATGGCATTGAAGAAGTTGTTAGAAAAAAATTTTCATTATTTTCTTCTTCATTTATTAAACGATGAGTTAAATTAAATTTTAATGTATAAAAACGTTCACGTGATATAGGTAAACCATGATCACGTAATAGAAATGCAAGTGTATATATTCCATCAGGTACTGTTACATTGACTTTTGTTATTAATATTGATGAATTTGTAAGATTATTTTTTATTAAATTAAAATAATAATTTGATGTACAATTAAGACATTCAATTGAAACTAAACCATTAAGACCATCATCAAGATCAATTGGTTTAAATTCATAAATA